TTTTTTCATCTTTTCACGGTGTATAATTTACCTTTTCATCATTACCGTTGGAAGGAAACATGCCAGTCTTGTGTTACTAATAGCAAGGACGGCCAATAGGAGGCTAACAAGAGTCAGCTAGGTAGGAGGAATATTGCTAAATTTTCTAAGCTTATTACACAACTATGACTTAATAATGCAACGAAACTAGATTCTCTTACCTAAACGGCTTCCCAACCGACAAAGTGTTAAAATTATGGTTCAGTTTATGCGTTGAAACAATTTCCATTTGAAAGGAGTCTTCCTGTACATGTCCGCCATGTTGGACCGAGTCCTTCATTTCTCGAATTTATCGCTCGGAAAACCTTTAAAAAACAGCAATTCCTTTCCTAAAGTCCTACGTCGTGATTTATAATACTGTAGAATATCTTTTTCGGACGAATAAAATTGTTTATGTCCTACTCAGTTGAAGTTGAATGAACTCGCGCGCTTTTTATGTCTCGGAGTTTTTTCGGAACTTATTGTAAAAGTTCGGAAGCTTGTCGTGAGGGGTTCGGGTTCTTTTTTGTTACTATGGAAATTTACGCCTTGACGCCTGGAACATGTCAACACACAGCAAGAAGCATGGCTGTTAGCACTGGAGCATTTAGAAGCCCTCTTTACGAGCTCAAATCTAAGTCAGGAACAGCACCAGCTTATGCCAGAAGACCTGCATCACATCTACCTTTTGTAAGTATCTTTTTGAAGCAATTTATTTTGTCGATCTGATTTTATCAAAACTTTTATAGCACGTTTTGGAAAGTTCCATTGAACTGAAGATAAGCTTCATCAAAGATGCTTGTGTTCTTTAATACTCTTTTAGGCTGGTAGAAGAAGTAAAAGTCCTTATAATTACGAGGAGCCCGTGACAGATAGAGAAGAATGGTGGAGATCTACTCTTAAGGTATCTGGTCTTTCAGTCATAATTAGCTTATTCGCTAACAAATTATATGCTATTGTTTTGATTTTGTCAAACTATTATGTATAGGTACAGTTTTTATAAGACAGAATATTTTTTTTGGATCTCCAGGATACTCCAGTGCCTGGGGCATATGAATCAAAGGATTTTGTTAGAGATATAAACTCTAATCCTATCAAAGCAACGTATGGATTTAAGAATACTGGACGCAAAAACAATGCAGATCCTTCAAGGACAGGAACCACTTTAATGCCTGGACTTTATAAGCATGTCACGGAAGTAGACAAAATGGACAAAAAACAGATAACATATAGTTTTAAATCATGTGATAGATATCATACTCCTGCTGCATTAGTTGGTTACATAGACAAAGTAAGTAAAAAATAATAATTACTGAATACACTACAATACTAATTAGCAATTAGTCGTAGAGCCCAAATTGGCTATTGACTTAATTATAGGCCATGAATTAAGGCGAGAGGACTAATCGTTTGAGTCAGATCCAACTAGTCAGTCAATTGTGCAAACAAGTTTTAAATGAAAGTAAAATTTAATGTTTTTGTTTCAAAACCGGCACTTTTCGCTACTATACTAAGTAGGCTATTACTTAGCTTATCAATTCAAAATGCAGTATTGATGATAGACTGCTAGTTGGATTTAACTTATTTTAATTAGAAGCAAAAAAAGCTGTGAATTCTTATGAATTTCTTGAGTATTGAGGCTGTTTAACAAAAATTAGTCAGGGGTATAGGTGGAGGGGGAACATGATGGGGGGGGGGGGGGGGGGGGGGGGGGGGGGGGGGGAATGATGACTGTTACCACATCCATAGAGTTTATTTAAATATTGTTTTGTCATCTTTATCTTCAGGAATTCGTGAAGAGCCAAATAAGCCCTACTACATATGATGCGGGGTATAAATATGTTCCTAAGCTTCCCTCAAAGTAAGTCAACAATAAATTTAAAAATGCCTGCATGCAGGCATGTTAGGAGAATGTTAGGTGAAATACACCAGTCGAACTGATCACAGAGTGTTTAGTTGTTTTGCCGCTAGCCCTCATTCCCAGGCTCCTGCAACCCAACTTTTGCATATTTTTCTGTCTTTTGATCATGACTAAAGTAATCATTATGATATACGTGCGGCCTAAAAGAAACAGAAATATGCAAAGGAAGGATAAAAACAATTTCTCTTTATCACCGCATTTGCTTAAAGTTCTTTCAAGCTTCAAAAATGCTTAGGGCCAATCATTTTGTTCACTCATGTTTTGCATGCTGCATTCACTGCTCAGCTGGAAGTGTGTAATGGAGCGTTTCTCAGCACTTCATGAGTGTTCCAAGTGGTAACTGCACACAGCACAGCAAGCAAGGTTTTTAATATCTAAAAATACAGAAAATACTTGGAACAATAATGGACCCTCCCCAAAAGTATCATGGAATTGAGGCTAATATGGAATAAAAAAAGAAATCAGAGAAAATTAAGTATAATATACAATACACACTGATACACGAAAACTGGTTCCCACAAAACATATTTATCCATTTATTTGTCCGTATAATATATGTCTTTGATATGTTTTCCAGACATCCAGCTTTTAAATCCCAAGTCAATAGATTTCCAACTGTTTACTTCAAAGCTGTAAGTTATGGTATATATTTTTTCACAAAACTGTATATCATGTCTTCTTGTCACATCCTGAGTTCCAATCCCTTGGAAATTCCAATCCTCATCCATATTGGGGAGGTATGGGTATTCTCTGGAACTACATAATATTCCTTGCTTAGACACCCTCCCCACCCTTTGGAAATTCCAAACCCCCTCAATAGGTGAGATATGGATATTTCTCAGACCCTCCCCAAATTCCAATCCTCATCTATGGGAAAGGTATGAATATTTTCTAGAACTACACAATATACCCTCCTCAGACCCTCCCCATCCCTTGGAAATTCCARTCATCCTCTGTGGGTAAGTTGAGGATATTTTCTGGAACTACACAATATACCCTTCTCAGACCCTCCCCACCCCTTGGAAATTCCAATCCCCCTCAGTGGGTGAGGTATGGATATTTTCTGAAACTACAGTACACAATGTGACCTCCTCAGTCCCTCCCCACCCCTTAAAAATTCCAATACTCATCCATGGGGGAGTCTTGGTCCATTGTTTTCTGGAACAACATAATATGCCTCAAGCTCCTCAGATCCCAAACTTTGGAAATTCCAATCTCCCTCCAAGGAGACAGTATAGATATTTTTAGCACTTAAACAGCGCTATTTAGACAGACCTTTCCTGGAATGTAAATACAAATTCAGAACTTATTTATTTCTGCAGAGACCTGGTCCTCCACCAGGGCAATATAACTTGTCAAAAGATGCCATCCTACCAAAAGGTCCCAACATATCTTCATCATTCATATCCAAAACTCCAAGGTTTCAACAGCCTCATGTACTGGTAAGCCAAAAGATTGTTATTTGATGTTATTTATCAATGAAAGTTCATGTAGTTAACTAATGTGGTACTAAGTTTGTATGTTTGTACAGTTATCCCACCAACAGAGAACATGGAGCACACCAAAAAAATATGAGATATGAGACACTGAAATACAAAAAACGGAAAAGGTGGGAGAGGGGGCTTAGATTTGAAAAAATAAGAGAATAGTAAGCAAAACGGGAAAAGAGTGTAAGGCTAT